GCCCGCACGCGGCGGTCTCATGTTTACCCTCGCCGCGGCGTTTCCATCGTGCAGTCATGTCCGAGTGGTTAAGGAGATTGACTCGAAATCAATTGGGCTTTGCCCGCGTAGGTTCGAATCCTGCTGACTGCGAATCTCTTTTGCTTTTTCTGTAAGTGCTTCTGAAGTTAAAGGAATTTCTTTTTTTTTGTTAACAACAAGTTTATTGTTGGATAAACTAGAAAGACCAACTAAAACTCTCAACATTTTTTTCTTTCCGACATTCACTGTTGTCCGTGCTGTGGGAAAGTGGAAGGCAGAGATGGACTTGGAGCAATTTCAGACTGGGGAGTGACACAGCCAATCTGTAGTTAAAAATTCTGTATATTTTTTGAAAACATGAACATACCGCTTGCTCAGGTCCGTTGTTGTCTGCTGCAGAAGTTGTCACGCTTTCAGCTGGAGTAGCGGCATTCAATGCAGTTCTGCGTGGCTGCGATTCCAATGGAGACGAGATGGTCAGAGAGCTGAACCACAACTCCGGAGTAGACAGAGTAGACACACTTTGATCTCGGTACAGGACCTGAACAATTATATTTTGCCAGTTTGTCTCATGTTTGCTTTGTTGTGCGGATTCGGAGGGCCTCAGTCGTGTAAATAAGTCTACAACTCACTTCTTCGGGCGACAACGACGGCAGAGAAGACCAAGTGGAAGACTCCGACGGCACAGTCTCAACAGAACCGGCACTGCGACGAGCTTCAGGGGCCGGGAGATGATTCAGGATCCAGCGCACTTCGCTGTCCGTTTCCCCGAACGGAGGAGGAGGAGTACGAGGACTCATTGAAGTTGTAAGAGGCTGCAAGGGGAAAACGAGTTCAATGAGGAACAATTTTCATAAACGTACCCCACGCCGAATCATTGAAGAATCAGACTCTCCATCGGAAGACACGGAGAAATCGTCCCAGTCGCTCATTGACCTGGAAATATTATGATTTGTGAATAATTAAATTAAAATAAAGAGAAATACGTGTGTATTTCTTTCAGTAGATATCAGAAAAAGTTAGGAAAGCTGCAGTGCTGTCAGCTTAAGATTGGAGAACTTGCAGTACTGATATTTAATGAGAGAAAAAGGCGTAACAACATTTTACTGCTAAACTGAGTACAAACACACTTCCCCGTTTTGCGTGACCATTCATAAGAAAAAGATACTGAGCCGCTATAGAGTGATAGATTTGAACAGTGTACACACTCGCTGCCCGATCAATGTGCCTTTTAGAGACCGACAGATGGGGGTGATAAAAGTGAATGGCGCGGGAGGCCGGCGGACAAAGGAGAGACCGCATATTTGAAAATGTTTTGCACGAGAGGAGACAGGGAGAGAAACCACTGTTTTTCTGAGAGTTTGGTAAGTTTTGTTATTTTCTAGAAAAATGAATCAATGAGTCATTTGGGACACTTTGGAAATAATGTCAATCGCGAAACGTATGAGTTGCGAAACTCCCGGATTTGAAGAGTCTGCATGCGAATTATACGAGTTACAAAATTCTAGGTGGCTAAGCGTAAGAGTTGCGAAACATCTAGTTGCGAAAACCGGGGGCCCGAATTGAGAAATAAGGCTTCACACAAGTTGATTTGAAATCGATTCTAACTGCGTCACGCTGCGTTCTCAAGTGGGCCGCCTTCGATTCTTACGATACCTCTCGACGCGTTTCCAATAGGGCGCAGTTGCAATCGCTCCGCCTATCTCTGTTTCTCTGTGCCTATTTCCCGTTTACACACACGGTGGGCGCCAGTCATTCGTGTTTGTTTCTTGGTTGACCATGGCCGATTCGCTTGAAGTGAGTTGAATCATGCTTTGTTTCACAATTTCTATGTTCATTTCCAGCCGACCTCGTCTTTAGTGGCTCATTCGCAGGACCCCGCTCAGTTGCCCGTCCCCGTTCGCCCTTCTCGTCCTTTGAAAGACGCTCGTTCTCTGGCGGCCTTTTTGCAGAACCCGGTCCGTGGTTCGGAGGCCCAGTCTTCGGGTCCCGTTCGCCCCCCGCGTCCACTGAAAGAGCAGAGCCGTAAGAAGAAGGTGAGAATCGAAGAGTTGTGATGTGTGTTTGGGCTTGTTAGAAGGGGGGCATCACCTGCTTAATTTTTATAAATGCTGAAAGGGCTGTACCAATATTACTTGTTTCAGGACTGCGGCCTGTCTGACCAGTGTTCTTCCTCGTCTTCGACGGTCCACGACGCCTCGCACAACAACGCAGACGCCACCGCTCACGAGGGTGATGACAAGCAGATCTCGGAGGTAACTTATTTTCTCCTTCACCGCAGCATTACCTGGGTAGAATCCTCGGCAACTTTAAGATAAGGCGAAAAAGCATGCCATTCTGTTGTACCCACAATACTGCTTCAGCAAAATTCCAATCAACTTACCTAATTTCTCTTTTTTCAAGTCATCGCCAACCGGATCGACTCAATCGACTTCGTCGGATGCGAAAGCCGCTCACTCTTCCTGATTCGATCATATCCTACGTCTTTCGAGCTATTATCCTTTTATCTGAATCCTGTTAAACTGCTTGCTAGCTTTTACATGAAAAAGTCGAAGAACGCTCTCTTTGTTCCATAGACTTCTCAGTTTCTCTCTATTTCTTGTTCTTAATATCTCTGGACACATGATCATGTGCAAATCTCGTGATCAGTCACTATGAAACGAAGAGAATGACGGTATTAGTCACCGTTCCGGGCAAGAAAAAAAGCGAGAAGAAAATACATAATGACTAATGGAAAAAGGAGAGAACGCGGTCGTCACCACCGTCCACCGAGGAAAGGGAAAGTGAGTGCGTCACTTCCCTGGCTTTCAAAAAATACATTTAGAATCAAATGTATCAAACACATCTTGGGGAACTTTTTTCACAGCTTAGCTCCACAGATCTTTTAGAGGTTTTTTTATCCGCATCTCATTTGCAGTTATGCAAGTCCCGAGGCCAACTTATATTCAAACCCCATCACCACTCGTTTATTCTCAAATCAACCCTCGCAATTAGCGACAAGCGTCCGAGTTTTTTGTTCATTGCTCAATTTTTCATCCTCGTACTAGAGATTGGCTTAGAAATCCCGTGCCGGTCGGAGCCTGGTGGAGCGGCGGGCGCACACTTCGTGCCCACTCCTCATATGATTCAGCCGATACTCGTCTCCGCACATGATAACAACTCTCACCTTAATCAGCGGGTGCCAATGTACAATTTTGAGAGCGCTCTTCTCTTGGGAGATTTGTGAAACGCAGATGATATCAGGACTCATTTCACTCTTTGCTCGCCGAAAACCAAAATTAGAATAGAACAACGAGAAAATGTGACTCAACAATAACGAAGGGCACACCCGTTGTATCCAGAGTATGTAAAAAAACCAGACTGAAGGCGGTTTTAGACTCTTGGTCGAGTCTGGCTGTGAAGACTTTCGCAAAAATTTACTTTCCAATTTTAGCAACATGTTTTTTAAAATCAGAAGATTTCTTTGTCTGCTTTCTGATATGAGAGGTAAAGAGAGGAAATTTGGAATCTCGTGGGTTGGAAAGCCCCAATTATGCTGTAAATTTCGGAGATTAATCTTGCACAGATTTCTTGCGGGCTCAAAAGACAACTCATGTGCATGTGAGCTATTCTAATTTGATTCCTTGAATAGAGCCACATCATGAAATCACGTGCCTATTAGAAATTCCAAAATGAAAACAACCATTGCTCCGCCTTCTTTTTCAACATTTTTTTTTTCTGCAAGGGCCAGAAAACACGCGGCCGTCACAGAAAGCGGCGTAGTCTCAGCCATCCGTATTTAAAATATGAAAATTTTACTGCCCACTCGTGACGACTGCCTATTATCCGCTTTAGTTTTCTCTGGCTGATCAAGTAGGATCCAAAAAAGAAGGATTGGTTTTCCGAATTCGCTACCAGTGTTTTTGTTCTCTAGAACCAACTGGCCTGAATCTTAATAGTTTGTCCGCTTTTCTGTCGACCATGATTACAGCAGCTCTCCTCGTTTCTAGACGCTCTATTGTTTTCGTTAATAACTCTCACTATCATAGTTGAGCGGAATTCCGCCTTCCGCTTTCCGCCTTCGCTTTCCGCCGCTTTTTTTTATTCCGCCTCCGCTTTCCGCCTTACGCCAAAAAATTTTAATTCCGCCTCCGCTTTCCGCCTTCCGTCAAACATTTTTTATTCCGCCTCCGCTTTCCGCCTTCCGCTCAAAAAAATTTTAATCCGCCCTCGCTTTCCGCCTTCCGCCTTTTCAAAAAATCGATTCCGCTCAACTCTACTCACTATCCCCATTTTACGAGTTGCAGGAGAATAAAGATGAGCCTGCTCAAATGCTTCTGTTGCGCTCCGCGAATCGCACCCGTCGGCCACTTCTTGTCGGATGAGCAAAAAAAACTCGCAATTCGTGGAACCAGACGGAGAATACGATTATGTCATTTTCTCTCGTTTCTGGCGTTTATCATTCTCTCGGCGACTCCACTCATATTTGCTATGAGCTTTCTATCAAGTTCAGCAAGAATCGTTGCCGCAGCATGTGTCTCAGTGTCGGCCCTGCAAGAAAGCGGGTACCTACTATTCAAAGCCAAGAGCGAAGATCAATGGAAGGACAAATCAAAGGGAGTCCAAGTTGTACGACACAAAATCGTTTGCCTTCTACGGGGCGCATCATTCTGCACCCAATACATAACGCTCGGAATTTCAATGCTCATCTTTCCCGTCGAAAATTGGATTATAACGGTTGTGGCTTTGTTGGTCGGAACTGTGACCTTGTGTCTTACATTGCTATCCATAAAAGGTAGGCTGGAAAATTCTATCGCTTTCAAAACACATTTTTTAAGGAGAATCTTCATATTATGCAACGTACGTCGTCATTCTCAATCAATTACTCCGAGTCAGCCGAGATTCGACAATCAAGTATTAGTTGTCTTGACAATACGGACAAACAAGGTTCTTCTCTTCCCATTACTTCCTACTTTCCCATCTTTGACGTGCTCCATTTAATTATTATGTTCGGAAATAGTGTGTAGCTTGGATTTTGGCACTAATTCTTCTTAGACACCTATCAGATCCTATCATTTCTTAATTACCTCGATCTTATCAGTGACCTCCTCTTTTCTGCTTTACCTCATTATCTAGCTTTTTGATTTCATCCGCATTCTATTACATTGCTTTTACTGTTTTTCAATGGTGTGTTCTCTTTTGTTTTCTGTATCTCTTGTTCTCATAATTTGTTCTTTTTGTGTTTTATCCTAACAATGAAACACTTTCTGCAAAAATCCAATATTTTTGATGAGCTTTGAACGCGGTCACAGTTCTTTTTCGAACTTTTTAAAAACTATTTTTCGAACATCATGAGTATTGTCAATTTATTTTTATATCAGAGATACACATCAGATGTGTGCTGAAGGTATGAAGATCACATGGCTAAATGAGAAAAATAACGTGAAAAATCATGCAGTTTTCTGTGAATAAGGATTACACAAATCGGTTCGGATGAAGAAAACATTTATAATATGGGAGCGGAAGTTGGTCGGACGCGTCTGACTGCTTGCCTCTGAAACATCTAAATAAAACCACAGTATCTTGAAGTAACTTACCCCAGATTGAGGAAAATTAGCCGGCATGAAGTGACGAGAGGCTGTAGCATTCACATGTTGTCTTAGCATTTCCAAAGTGGCCGGTCTACTGGCGACTGGTACCGGAAGCATAACGGAAATATGGGTGACGACGGGAATCATAACAGGCATTACGCGACACTCAATAAACGTTAGATCTCCCGACTGTCCAGATGGGGCAGAGTTGGAATGAGATGAAGGCTGTCTCTGATGAGTTGGAACAGTTCCGTGGTGTTGTTCAGCAGCCTGAGAAATGTCTCGGAACATTTGTGGCATTAAGAAGGGCGGCGGAAAGTTGGGCATCGCTCCAGACGAGGAGACGTTTGGTTGCATCGGGCCAGAACCAAGGGATGCGGATATGAGAGAGTTGTACAGTTGTTGATTCCAAGCGGTTTGATGCTGTTGCAAGAGATTGGACCAGTTGGCAATAAGTTGATCATGGACGGATATATATGGGTCCTTAAAGTTTACTCTGGACTTATTTCAAACAAACAAACTCCACACCTGTTCAACGTTTTCCGGAGTATTAGACAAAGTTCTTTCAGGTGTAGGGTTCTGAAAAAGCTTATACTTGTCTATAATTAATTTCCAGATTCCCTTCTTTGTGAAATGCAAACATAATCATAAAACTGAACACCTGGATAAAAACCACTTACCCTTTGCCGCGATCTGCGAGCAGTTGACCCATTCTGATTAGCTGGACGTCCTGAAACTACACAGTGTGCTAAAGTTATACAAAATTGTTTCATAGCACTAACCATTCATGTTCACACCATTTTGATCCCTCCGTGTACTCCGTGGTGGTCTTGCAGCACCTTCTCCAGCCTAAACCAACATGCCCCGTTCACTTTGTTCCTAACTAAGCACACTCACCATCTTCAGAACGATTTGGCAAAGAAATCCTTGAACAAAGTAGGAAAAGGAGTAAATAATACGTAGAAATGAATGAAAGAGAGAGGCTTGTTGACTCGGTATGAAATCAGAAACGTATAATTAAGCACGTGAAACGAAAGGGCGTGAGCTTGGTGTGGGAAAGAGCAAATCACGAGATTGTGGGAAAATGTGCCAATCAGAGAGCCGTGTTGTTGTTGGAAATTCTGGCGATACATTAAGAGCCTAATGAACCACGTGACTTTCGAGGAGGATAATAAGTACACTACATAGCATCAGGTCCTTCTTCTCTTCAATCGTTGGGTTATGATTTTTTTTCTGTCGGATTGACAGACTCATCCCGCCAAGGACGTATCCGAGAGTGGATTTGCAGTACGGGAAGCCAATATGCTCTTTCGCCCATTCGAGAAGAGACTTCAAAGTCACCGGCTTCTCGATACTAGAGTTACATTGGAAAAATTCCATAATGACCTTTTTGTCGTCACCGGAAACCATAGCTCTCTGTCGTTTCTCTTTTCTGGAGAGTCGCATTTTCGGCATTCGCTATGCTTCCCATTCTGCTCTAAACAGCGGATGCCAAGGATTCCGGCACGCAAGTTGATTGTTCCCGACAAGCCCCTTTCCGAGGTCCACAGCCACTTCGTCTCTCTGCAAGCGTGCACACTTCTTGTCCCAATTTAAATATTTATTTATTACGAAACCGCAAAAGACAAGCAAGAAGAACAATAGTTACAATTTTGATTTATTTTGGTGAATATGGATTAATTCCATTCATTTTTAAGTAATACATCGTGCCGGGTAGCCTTCAACAAGTGACTGAGAGCGGAGTGCTTTCAAAATTTTGTTTCAATTTGTGCATTAAAGGACATGTTACTAAGACCCGGCCATACCTCAAATGCACGAACTTCCGCTCAAGGCGCATAACGACGCTTTTCTCAATAAAAAATTACCTTCTGCTCAGTTGCCTCTTCTTTTTTTCTTTTATTGAGACAAAAGTGTACCCGGTTTTGGTCTTCTCGGCGTCTGCGGCGGTTTCGGAGCGAGCTTCGGTTTTTCTTTTTTCCAGTCTGTAACTTGTGAAACTCTTGACATGTTCAAAATATGCGTTTCTAAACAGATTCAAAATAAGAGAAAACATTGACGACGTGCACCATTTTTCGACTGCGATAGGTTTTTCTAAAAATTCTATACACGAAAAGGGAAGAATTAATTAAATTCACTACGAAAAAAGTGAGAACACAGTCAATTTATTAGAAAGAAAACAAAAATTGCAGGAGCAGTCGACGTTGCCGCGGACTAACTTTCTCTTCTCACACCATTCAAATTTAGAGTCCCCCAGGTTTTCGAGGGCTCTTTTCAATAGCGTGCCCTTTCTGTTTGTTGCCCCTATAATAATACGGATGTCGTCTATCTGGATGAGGCGATAAATGATGTTTGTGCCAACGGAAATCCAGATCTTCCACTTCGGCTTGTTGACTGTCCATCGAATTCTCCTGCAATATTGCGCTATTTTTTCTTTCTTTTCTTTTTATTTTTTTCTTTTCCAGCGTGTTTCAATGGCATCAACACGGAATCGAATGTCGTCAGGTCAACTTCGCCGATTGAGAAAATCGTTGAAAATCACAGAAACCGGACAACTCGAAGATTGAAGCGCTCACGTCAGGGATCCCGATGGATGTTGGAAAGTCCGGTGAGCTGCCGCAGTTTTTGTCTTTGATTGATAGCGAGCATCACAGCAACCAACGTCTGCCTGAAAGAATCTGATATTCATTTAGCGCACCCCTATTCTGTATTCCTCACTCTACGCGCAAGAAAAGTCAATCCCGATAATTTTTTTTTCGTTGTCCATTCGCATATTCGTTGTAGAGCAAACACGCGGACATCTCACTTGGCCGGGTCGCCCGATTCACGCAAAAACTGCCATGAATTCCTCTTTCTCCGTTAGCAGTTTGACGTTTCTGGGTCATTTGTTAGATTCTCACTGACCTATGTACATGCGATATTCACATTAGTACTTAGAACTGGTTCAAATCGAAATCCATAACAGCCAGTAGAGAGAAAAGCGAAAAAATTTAGCATCATCCTTCGTAAAAGTGCTTGCGAATACATATTGTTTCTAGTCCTGGTTATTCGACTCGACTTCAAAAATCTTCACTAGGAAAGTATTTTTTCTCCGTTTGGGAATTTTCTAAAATAATTGCTGTACTATAACATATGGGGAGGATTTTAAGATCTGAAAATCCTGCTAATGCCTCAGAAAATTTCTAGAAAGCTCGTCACACTTTTGCTATATTTCCGTCTGAAATTGCTCTTTTGGCAGGCGGCAAAGTCCTCCAAGAAATGGTCCCAAATGTGTCAGAGTGTTTCAAACAAGGCTCCGCTGGTCCGGTTCCCCTTCATTAGTTTCTTTTTCTTTTATTTTTATAGCACTAATTATTTTGTTTCAGAAAAATCCCAAACGGAGAAAAAAATGCTTGCCTGGTCAAAGCGAAGGAGGAGGAAGAAGAAAAGAAAGTGCAAGGAATCTGGCAGAAAGATTGATTGCTCTTTTTCGTATGGATGCTTTTTTGTTTCTTTTCACTTAATCACTGTCGCCAGTTGCTTTTCTCTTTGTTTCGTTTCCAACTGTAATTCTCATGGGAGCAGTTCGTTTCAATGTTCTTTGAAGTTCTATGGTTTTTCTGCGAATTTTTGTTCTTTTTGTTCGGCCAAACTTTTCTTTTCTTTTCAATAATTTTAATTAGAAAAGCGACGATATTATGAACAACGAAATCTTAAGAACAATCCTTCATCGAAATGCTGTGGTTTTCGAGTGTTCCGTTTTTTGTGTGTACTTTAACATGGAGTGTCTCTGGTCACCTCATAAAACCCTCGGAAGAACAGAAACCAATCAATTATACTGGGTGAGTCTTGAATCTTCAAACCCCCGCCCCCCCAAAAATTGAAAAAGATTTTTTTACAGTTATTCTTTGCTTCAATTCAAAACTCATGCGTCATCTAATTCAATTAGTAAAATTCAAAAGTTCAATGTGCAAGTGAATGAGGTACGTTTTTGTTTCACCATACGCACTTTTGCACCAACACTGTAATTGTTTGGTTTCAGAAAACAAACTCGGTCCGTCTTCTTATTGAAATCTGGGCAAAACCTTCATTTCAAAATCCATATGCCCTTGTTCTGGTTGCTCCCGAGTTTATTGATAAATTCAAGTCCTTGCTCACTTGCAGTGAAACTGAAACTCTAAAAGAGATTGAACGAAACATTCAAAGGTACCCACTCTTCTGAACGTGAACCATGCCCCCAATATTTGTGTTTTCAGCAAAATCGATGAAGAACAAACAGCAATGTTCCGAGATTCGATCGGTCGGCAAAAAAGATCCCTCAGCACTTGGTATGATTTTGAAGTCAGTGAATATCATTCGTACGACCAGGTTAGCTTAATTTACTTGCATTCATAATAACCTACGATTCGTTTTTTTTTGAAGATGAGAGACTTTCTCACGTTGCTCTCAGAACAGATCCCGGACACAGTGGAACTAGTACAAGTGTCTACCTCATTCGAGGGAAGAATTGTTTACGGTGTCAAGGTGAGACGGAACTAACCCGAATTCTTTTTCCCGTGTTAGTCTAACGACAGATTCTGCTTTTTAAAGATCCATCCGCTAGTGTCACCTCCAAACAAGTCCTCAATCGTTGTCGACGCCGGCGTCCATGCTCGGGAATGGATTGCACCAGCAGTGGCTCTCTATTTGATCAAAACAATAGTTCTGCAATACGGTGAAACATCCAATGTGACGGACAATCTGAACAAATTCGACTGGTACATAATTCCACAAGTCAATCCTGATGGATACGAGTACAGCAGAACACAGGTACGATAATATACAAAGAAGAAAACAAAGACTTGAATATCATAAGGATCGTTTGTGGCGAAAGACTCGAAGCTTCAACAGCACTGTAAGCAAACATTGTTTTGGCTCAGATGGGAACAGGAATTGGGGATATCGTTGGGGTAAATTCTTATAATACGTAAAAATGAGTTATTAATTTTTAAACTTTGTAGGAGAAGTTGGCGCCACTCGTGATCCTTGTTCGTATCTTTATCAAGGAAGTCATCCGTATTCGGAACCAGAAATTGCAGGTGAAAATAGCAGTTTTCATTGAAAGCAAGATTATTTTAGGATTGAAGCAATTTCTCACAGAGCAAGTCAGTAATCCAATTGTCTATGCCAGTTTGCACTCGTACGGCCAAATCTTCTTAGCTCCATGGGGTCACACAAATAATAAGACTGCCAACCATGATGATCTGGTATTGTGTGCCCTAAAAGAAACCGTGGAAAGCGGTTGTGACTGCAAACTGTGAAACGATTTCAGATAGACGCTGTCAGTGAGGCTGTTGCCGCGATCAATGCAACCACCGGATCGGTCTATATTTACGGAACCATTTCCGAAATGATGTGTTCGTCAATCTAGTCTAGTTAATATAATAACCCTTTTTTTTCAGATCCGTCTGCAGGATCAAGCATCGACTTTATGCAACACCGTGGAGTACCGTATGTGTACGGCATCGAACTTCCGCCCACTAATGAAGTGAATAATTTTGCGTTTAACCTTCCACCAAATCGGATAAAGGAAACTGGTACTGTCTATTGATACACGACTTCGAACCAATACGTTTTCAGGAGACGAGATATTAGCAGCATTGCACGCGATTGCAGATCATGCCGTCAAAGTTAAGAATCTTTGAAAATTTCCCAATTATCTATTTTTTTGCTTTTTTTATTGCTTTCCAATAAAATAACTTGTTTTCTGGCCTGTTTAAATAATCAAATCGAAAAATAGAGACCGCTTTTTGCTGTTCGTTGTTTTCTGTTGGCTGTTTGAGACACACCCGAAGGAGTTTGCCTCGACTTGAAACTTACCATGACGGTTTTTCAGACGAATCTGAAGGAAAAAAAATTTTTCGAAAAAAGCTCGAGCATTCGGTCTTCATACCGCACGAAGCGCAAAATAAGTATAGGTCCACCAAAATTTAGAACATTCTGAAAAAGTACATTATAAATATGTCCATCTCCACATACGATCCTAGGCGGTCCAACATAATAGAACCGGGCAGAATAGAACCGCGACACTATAGAACCGGCCACAATATAACTGTTAGCGCCTCTTATACCCTTCTGTAGAATAATTGTTTCGTAGAAAATAATAATTTTTGAATCTCGTGATCGATTTATTGCATTCATTAATTTCACTTCCGTCGTGATCCCTCTTCTCTACGGTAACAAAAACCCACAGAAAATAATTTTATTGTACCATCAAAAACGAAAGGAAACCAATTTTCTAGGTTTAAACTGTGGTCTTCTGCTTAATTGTTCGAGAGACGAAACATTTTGCGAAAGTTAATTGAAAGGAACGGAAACAGTTCTATTGTGTCGCGGTTCTATTCTGCCCAGTTCTATAATGTTGGACCGCCAATCCTGAAAGTGGGACGCGTCGAGATGAAAAAGATGTAGTAAAGAGGACAACACGACAAAAATTTTAAATTTGTTCCGAAATAACCCTTACTGTGTGCGGCGGAGCGCATTTGCTTGGGGACGAGCTTTTCTGTGACGGTCGAGGTCCTGCGTATAACCTAGACGATGACATCGAGAGAGTAATGTGATTCTTTCGCTTTTTCCGGCTGGTTTCCACTCGCTTTTTAGGTTCCAAAAAACGTTTCGAACACTGAAGATTGAAAAAACTTGAGATTTGTCACGTTTTAAAATAATTGTTTCGCAATTTACTAACATTTGCTTCAGTTCTCTGGCTGTGTGGAATCGACTCAAACCCACCCAGCCTGCTATGTAGTTCTATTCCGCTAGCCACCGTCTAATCGAGTTCGTTTCAGAGGGATGCAGCCGGAGCAAAGCGCTCTCGCGGCGAATTCATCCACGCTCAAGAGGAAGAAAGAAGATGCGGACGATGACTCCACGCTCAAGAAGAAGAAAGAGGATGCGGACGATGGCTCCACGCTCAAGAAGAAGAAAGAGGATGCGGACGATGACTCCACGCTCAAGAAGAAGAAAGAGGATGCGGACGATGGCTCCACGCTCAAGAAGAAGAAAGAGGATGCGGACGATGACTCCACGCTCAAGAAGAAGAAAGAGGATGCGGACGATGACTCCACGCCTCCGGCGAAACTCCCACGTGAGGAGACCATCATGAACTGGACGACAGCGGAGACGTGCGACTGGCTGGCAGCAAAGCTCCCTCCGCACAGTGAGAAGTTCATCGAGGTGCTCCGCAAGAACGAGCTGAAGGCCGACAAGCTCATGGTGGTCAAGGACAACCCAAGGCATGAGCTCATTAAAAGAATCCCAGAATTGGAGGGCTTTTACTGGCTCCTTTTCAAAGCTGCTCTCAAACTGGAAGTTGTGGGCATGCCCAAAACCCCGAAGCATGTTTTCCATTAATGCATACTCTCGGATCATTTCCCTTACTATTGCAATGTTGTTGACTCTGAAACATAGTTTCCATGTTAATTAATAAATTATTATAAAACCCAATTTTTCCGCAAAATGTGCATGTGTGCGGTGGAGCGCATTATATAACTCCTCTGTGAGAATCCGTTGGTTCGAACGCGCATTTTTGGGGACAGAGTTTCGTCGTGAAAATAATTAGTCGCCTGGAAAGCAGGTTTTTTGAAGTTTTCTCGCCTTGTATCCCATTTTCCTGATTGAACTTGGAAAAGATCAGAAAGTTAAAGCTCTACATGGTATCAATATCTGGTGTGATTCTATGGACGCCGTGCATTTTTATGCTCGAAAAACGCAAAACAAATTTTCGTGTGCGTTGTTGTTGCAATGCGTCGCGTTGCGTCGCGTTGTTGTGCTCTCAGCCGAGACATTTCAGAGAAGGACAACGAAAGTTACATATTCTGATAGAGCTCGGCGAGCTGATCACTCTCATGCCACTATAAACTCGGAGCTGTTCCGACTATCGTCCGACCGGGCTATTTATTGGACGCCGGTCTATCGTCGTCGAGTCTTTTCCAGGCTACAAAGCTATATTTTGACGCCAGAACTTTTGGCGTTCAATATTAGGAAAAAATTAGAAAAAATAGTTGGCTGAAAAATGTGGTGGTCAAATTGCAGTCCCTCACTTTCGAAACGTTCCAAGTCAGCAAGAAGATCGTGATCAACAGTTTATGGCTCCCGCGGAAACATATCACGAGGTGAGCGTCGTTGAAAAAACAATAAAACTGTATTCCCCCGTTTCAAATTTTATTAGTTTTGTTTCGGGGGAAAGAAAAAGCTGCACATAAACATTTGCGTTGTGGCGATTTGAGGTAATACACTGGCGAATTGCAGTTCTTCGTTTTCTGTTGTCACGTAAACCCTCTCTTCAACATTTCATCCAAGGGTTGAGGTTCCACGCCAACGAAGAACCATAAAACGTGTGTTCTTGTTGTTCGCTGTGCTGTTTCCCACGTTTTATCAGTGTGTTGGCTTTTGTGAATAGACAATCAGTTCGAAACGTTCAACCATTTCACTTGTATTCTTTTAACCAAACATTGTTTGTTCTGGCTTTCAGCAATGGACCTCGTTGATTCGAAAGCGCAAACCGACGTCCAGTCCATCGAGCAGCAGTTGGCTGATCGTATTGAAAATTTTGAATCGCAGATGCGGCAAATGGACCGTGAGCAGATGAGCTCGGGGAGGCACCCAAACCTGAAGCCAATCACTGTTTGGGTCGATTTCAAAGGAGAGAAGGTCCAGGAAGTGAGTCGACTTACTATACAAACTTTTTCAAATGTAGCTTCAGGTGTGCGTGTACCCAATGGGCCTCCCGCGCTCATGTCCCCACGCGTGGATTGTCGCTGAGCCAACTCAAATCACCGTTGAAAATCGTAAGATTCTGTTGGAAGTAAACACCGAGGACTCTCCGTTGACGGATGCTTGTGTGGCGGAACTCGTTCGTATTATCGGAAAAAGTTCAGTGGTGGTCGGCCTTAACTTGATCGGTGCGAACTTGACCCCGACAGCTATGCAAGTCGTGCAACAGTTTGGAATTGAGAGAGTGGTTGTGGAACTTGTCTCTGATTCTGCTATTTCTCCGGAAATTGAAACGTTGGAACCGGTGAGTGACATATAAAATGGGAATTCTGAAAGTGCAAGTATTTTTCCGTTTTAGATCACTTCGCTCGTCGTCAAAGGAATTAACAGCGTGGAAAGCTTGGAGTGTTTCAGAAACACCCCAAATCTCGTCAATGTCACTGCTCAACTCCAAAATGACGAAGCCAGCAAGAACTTGCTGTCCGACCTGATTTCCGAATGGGAACAAGGGAAGCGCCACATCAATCACTGGGTGATTCACTATCCGGAAGAATGGGCGCTCACAAATCAGGACTACAAACGAGAAGATCAGAACGACCACAGTGTTCTGCTCCGTAGAATCAAGGAGGAGTTCGATGGTGGAGCCAAGGCAGTGTACACTTTTCGCCCAGTCCGTACTTCTCTGGTCACTGGTCTGTGAAGAAAGAAGAAAAGTATAATTAATCTCTGGGTTCCTATTTATTTGTGCTGTTTACGACCTATTTTATTTCTTGCACTTATTACCTGACTGCTACATTTCAATTCATTAAACAATTCCTATTTTTTGGCACAGGTCGTTCAGCCGATCGTCGACTGACAACAGTGTAAGAGAAAGGAGAGAAGGAAGGTGAGCGTGATGGAGTTGGAGAAGTCGTCGCAACTGACAGGAGAGCAGCAGAGAGACGCGTTTTGTAGAGTGCTGGACAAGGAAAGGGAAAATTCAAAATAAAAGTCTTCTCAGTGTTGTCGCAACTGATGAGAGGAAGGTGTTGATATAATTCGGTTGCAGTGACTTAGTGGTGGGGCAAGCGGATCCGAACCATTGGAAACGTGACGTTCAAATGTCATTTGTGACAACGCTTCCCAATGAGTTTTTTCTACCGAGGTGCTTGTCGGATTCCTCGAAGTAATGATAAATGCGGCGGCTGGGCAGTTGAAGGACAGCCGGAAGTTGAAGTTGTACGAATATATATTCTGAGCAGGAAACGGAATATTGATATAATAATGGCATCGCCTCTGATGACAAGGATCTGTTGTAAAATGAAAATCCGTCCTGTGTTGTGTAGGGTTGTAACCTGCATTTTGAAATTATTGACGTTTCTGCACAGACTGACACACGATGTCATTAGAAAAAAACAACCGTTTTGGATATGGGTTCAAGAATTGTTACCAGGCCCGTTTGAATAGTCCAAAAGAGAACAACCGAAATTTCATAATTACCCTCTTTTCTTTTCTCTCCTTTAAGAAAAATTTTAAATAGGGATTTTAAACTTGCCCACCCAGACTCTCGAAAAGTCCTGGTCGGCAATTTCCCAGCTCTTTTTTCACAGCAAAGAATAAGACACCTCTCAATTTGATAAGTAAGTGGAATAGGCGAATCTGTATGAAGTTTATCATTAATCAAAATAAACGAGCCATTGTGTTACTAATATTTTATGCATTAAAATAGCAGGTGGAAGATTTTTTTCAAATGGCAGAAATTTCGCAAACAGGTAAATTTTGCTTTGAGGCAACCCAATGACTAAATTGAAACTGCAATCAATGAGTAGGTTTTGACAACATGTCTAACGAAACTCTCGACTATTCATTGCCGATTAGTAATTTTGAGATCGGAGCTTTATGCGCCTTTTTAATCGTGTTCTTTATTCTTTTGCTAGCCTTTCTGATCTCGTTTCCCTTGTACGTATACGTGTTCCGAATCAACAGACATAAAGATGCACTTGTGAGGGGCAAAAGTTGAACTTAATAGTTGGTTTATCGGGGGATTTTCAGTCCGTCACCCATCTAATTTTTGAATACTTCTACAAGACTATTAAAAAACTGTTCGTTCTGATGATTATCGAGGTACTATTTGTTATCTTTTTCATTCGGATTCTGTTTGAAGAATTGTGAGTTTTCTGTAATAATCTTTTACACACATCAATTTGCAGAATAGCAATCGCAATAATATGTAGTTATATCGAACTGTTCCTGTTCATTTATATAACCTTATTTGTTCGAGTTCATCACGTTCTATTGATTTTTGTAGCATTTCAAAAGTTCACCGTTTTTTTCTTGCCACGCCTCGAGAAATATATTGTTTTGTCACAAAAAGCGACAGGCCGACTCATATCCATTCTTTATGTTCTATTTTTATCAAGCGATTTCATTTTGTTAGCTCTGTATACAACTGAATTCAAGACTAGTAATAAGTCAAAACGTTTTTTGGCAGTTTCCATATACAATGTAAGTCCCTGAAGGAATAAAATTGAACATAATTTCAAGCTTTTAGTACGCTTATGTGACTCTAAATGTTTTCTTAATTCTCGCAAGTTTATTATACGTCCCGATAAGAAGAGAAATTAAAAAGTTCAGTTATCTGCCATCGGCTTCACAAGCCCAACCGGACCGATTTATTTTTTATCAAATAATATGCGTTGTGGTTGTAAAAGTGGTAAGTACTCACTTCTACTTCTAAAAAAATCTTAATTTTAATGTTTCAGGGCATGTACTTCGTGTGTTATTTATGTTATTTCTTGGGTACGTCAGGAACTGTTGAGACTTTCCCAGACTATGTGGGTTTATTGGAATTCATTCAGCTATTAGCAGCTATATGCGCTTGATTTTCAGTGGCTAGTTCTCGTGCCTGTTTCCGACTGTATTGCTGTTCCATTAATAATTCAAATATCTTACTTGGGGAGCAACAAACGTAATCTTGACACGTTGCTATCGTTTTCGCCAATGGCAGCTATAAAATCAGCTCTATGTACAAGAATAAACAATGCTCAAGTTTATCCAGAACGGCAGGAAGCTGTCAGTTCTCTTCGGACAACTTTGTGAATTTTTTTCTTTTTTTACGGCGGTACAACCTAATAGAACTGCCACACAATATAACTATTTCGAACGCCTTTTAAGCCTTTCTGTAGAATAATCGTTTTCTAAAGCAAGATCATTTTTGAAGCTTGCGATCGAATTATTGAATTGAAATACAGGCAATTGCTCACTTTAAAAAACATAATGCAAACGCGCGCCACCGAAAAACAGCTCTATTCTGCCGCAGTTCTATTACGGCCGGATCAATTGTGTCGCTGTTCTATTAGGTTGTACCGCGTTTTTTTTTTACATATCTCCAAGTTACTGTTATTGTCTGATTCTCTGATTAATTTGTTCTCTTTATCGCATAGATTCGAGAAAGATTACACTCCGATTTTTAAAAAGTGTTTTTTTACAAGCCTGATCGCCCGGCTATGCCGGACTATAGGCTTGCTAGGGTCGCCCTCGTTGTTATCAACGCAATTGGATCATTCTGCCCGAGTTGCCGCCGTGGTGTAGCCTCTGGCGCGTAGATCCATCGTGCGACCGCCCGCGGTTCGAGTCCCCATTTTTTGGATGGGCAGTCTTTACCAATTTTCGATGGCTTTAGATTCACACGGGTTCTATCACATGAAAAGTTGTATGCTCCTGTCAAATTTTCAAATTTTGTTTATTGCAAAACGGTAGCTCCCCTCACTCGAATAGTTCCCGACAAAGTTGAGCGGAATTCCGTCTGCCGTCTTCCGTCTGCCGTCTTCCGGGAAAAAAGTTTTCTTCCGTCTTCCGTAAAAAAATTTTTCTTCCGGGATTTTTTCTTCTTACCGTAAAAGAGTAAAAGCTTTTCAGAAGCCATTTACTAGCCCCGAAGAACGCGAATTTCCACGGGCAGTGACCCAGATCCAAAATTTTTGTTGCTTTAGTTATTTAAAAAAAACCGGAAATAAAGATTCTGCATTGGCGATTTTTTTGTTTCGTCTTTCGGTTTCAAAATTCCATTTCCGCTCAACTCTGGTCCCGACCGTTCATAACTACCCTGTTTGCTCATCAAACCCTCACACCACCATTGAGCAGGTTGTGTTGACCGGTCATGCATGCGAGTGTTCGCGTTCGCCCTCCACCCCGTCCGCTCGTATGACTTCTCTGTGTCTACACTGCATAATTCGATGTGAGCACGTTTTTCACCATTCCCTCTTCTTCTTCATCCTCGTTTTCTCTCCCTCATCTCTCTTCCTTTACTCTCATTGTCTGCACTCTCTCTCTCTCTCTCTTTCAAGGACCTTCTTCGTCATTTTCGAAATACACGCATACATTTGTTCGTCGTTCGTTCTCATTCTCGTTCTTTCTTTTTGCGTGCCACTCGGCATTTCACCTTGTTCTTCGATTTTTTTTTCACTTTTTTTCCGAATATTAAGGGGCCCTAAGTTTTGGCCGAATCCCCAGAAACTGTTCCCTATCAGCTTGCAACTCTTGACCAAGAGACTTTCCGAGTATTAGAGTACAGTTTTTGGCAAAGTCACCGTCACCTCAACAGCTTACGTCGGCTCGCAATTTTCGGCCGGCAGATCATTTCCCTATTACCTCTCGTTCAAAATCTTTCACGTCTTCGAAAACCAAGAAAACAAAAAAGCAGCCTACATGCCGATCTCTCCGATTTGTCTTCTCCTCCTAGAACATTCTCTCCATTATATACTTCTTCAACTCCACCTTGAATCGTTGAAACTGAATTTTTGTAGAACAACAGAAATCGAAATGGAACACTCCAAAATGAGGGGCGACGATCTTGAGTTCGAATCAAGGTAAACGTGAAATTTTGGAGCTGCTGAATAATCAAATTGAGCTAATTTAGTCAAAGTGAAGATGGAACCGAAGATGCAAACGAGGGTGCTCTGCTGGCGGCCCAGAGTCAAAGTAACTCGGAGCAAGGTAATTTCATTGAGATAAGCAAATCAGGCAAAATTAATGTTGAGAATGTTCAGAATCGCAAGTCGCTACTCCCATGACGATCAAACAGGAGCCGCTCGACGAACCGGCCCAAGAGCCGAAAACTGTCTCACGTGAAATGGAACAAAAATGGAAGCAGGCAGTCGCCCACACTCGCGGCCACAGTTGTTACTTCCGAAGTAAGCTATTAAGAGGCAATGTCTGAGAAGCAGGGCTGGGCAATTGGCCGGCCCGGGCTTTTCGTTGGCCGACCCTTGACCTGGACTTTTGAACCACTTGCAATATTCCGATTGGACCCAAACTTTGCAGGATTGTTGGACTTGGATTGAGGGCCATTGGGTCCAAGTTTCAGCCCGATCGGATCGTCAGGTCCCGAGATATGTGGATCATTGACCGATTTTTTCCAAAAAGCGGGGGGCTTCCGGCCAATTTCGGCCAATGATCCACATATCTCGGGACCAGATGATCCGATCGGTCTGAAACTTGGTCCCAGTATGCTTCAACCCATGTCCAAGAAGCCTGCAAAGTTTGGGTCCGATCGGAATAATGCAAGTGGTTCAAAAGTCCAGGTCAATGGTCGGCCAACGAAAAGCCCGTGCCGGCCAATTGCCCAGCCCTGCTGAGAAGTTCAAAAACTGCAGGTCATTAAAAGTTCAGAATTTTTCAATTTGTTCCATATTATACCCAATGGGCACTTACATAACAATAATACATCAGACAAGTTTGGTCCGGCTCCGTGGTCCTAGTCCGATCACGATCCCAAAATAGTTCAAACCTGTAACTAATTTCAAAAAAATGCTAGCGTCTCAGACTCAACGCCATTGGATTCTTCGCATCTTTTTGAGTACATTTCACGTTGGGATTAAAAATTTGGCACCCCTCCTTTATGGAGAAAAAAATTGGTTTGTGACATTTTTCAGAAAATTTTTCAGGACGAGCAGAAAACTTTTTTGTCATGACCCCCGGGTCGACGAATTGGTCTAATTTTTTTTAATTTTCAGAATGCTTCCAAAAAATCGAGAATGCCTAAAAGTATACGAAAACAACAAAAATCGCGATCAGACCCCTTTGAAAATTGAGAAAACGCACTGTTCTCAAGTTCGCGAACATTTTTCCATGCAAAAGTACTCTGAATTTTGTGAATTTCGGCTAAAAAACCCCTTGATGTCAATCGGGATCGGGGTGAACTTTTTTTTTGCAGAAGCACAATAATTTCGAGATTCAGAATCAGCAATAAAATCATGGCTACGTAGTGTTAAAATTTTTCAGGACGAGCAGAAAACTGAAAAATTTTCTGAAAAATGTCACAAACCAATTTTTTTCTCCATAAAGGAGGGGTGCCAAATTTTTGGAAAAAAAACAATTTTTCAAGCAATGGGGGGGGGGTAGCCATAATTAGCCAAAAACCCGACTGGAGCCTTCAAACTGAGCCAAATTATGAGTTACTTGTTTTTCAGAGAAATACAACTTCCTTTTCAACCCGGACGCCGTCGATCACACGCTCCCTCAGAAGGTAAAGAAGATGGAACATCGTAGAAAGTCGCAGGCCAAATACTTCTTGGTCCAAGTGCAAAAGATGCAGGTTGCTAGAGGTTGGATCGCATACGAAAAATAAAAATAAGTTGTTTCCCTCAAATTTGTTGAAAAAACGCATTCACACAACCCTAAATGCTAACAATTTGTTTTCTTATTCTCCATTCGGTTATTGTTTCCTATTTTGTAACAAGCTTTGTTTATCGTTCTGTGTCTTATTTTTAATCACTTTAACTGTTCTAAAGAAGGCGTTTCAGATGAAAAATGGAAATAAACTGTAGAAAAATCAGCGATTTCATTTTAATTTGACAGAACATAGGCACATGACTGGAAGTAATCGAAGAAAACGACTTTTGCGATGATTGGTTGCCAGCAGTGTTAACGAGATCGGTGATTTTTATAAACCTGGAAAATCATATTTTTGTTACACACAAGACGTGCATTGACGCGAAGAACGCATAGTAAAATATGTATGTAAAACTAAACATTTTTTTTAAATTTTTTATAGTTTTATGAGATTATTCGTTGATTGAGAGACGGAGAGAGAGAGAGAGGAACGGTTACGAGAGGGAGAGAAATAGATCTTCTTATCCCAAACTCAATGCCATTGGTTCCAGCCAAAATCCAAACAGTTCTTTTCGATAGGCAACTTCATGACTTTTCTCAGCGGTCCTCTCCTCTTCATTTCGGAAAGCTTATAAAAAATGTATAACTTATTCAAGTCTTATTCAAGAATTCAAGTCATTTGGATCGATCAGTTCGGGCAGAGGTGGACGACGTCGTTTTTGCGACAAAGCCTTTGACGAAGTAGATCATAGCCTCCAAGGGAAATACAACGAGAATTGTTGAATAGAACTTTTGAAGGCAAAAAAAAGATGTCAAATGACATTGCGGAACTGTTTGTAAACGGCGCTTTCGAAGATGCGTTTTTCTCTGAAAATGGATTAATTTTATATAACTTTCCCGAAGAGAATCAAGGATGTTGTCAAGAACAAAGGCAACCGCATCGAACAACTTTAATATTTTCTCGGACTATCGACTCTGTGTTGACTGCTTGCATTCGAAATCGGAAATCCTTCAATTCCTTATCACTCTTTTTCTGAGTCCTCTTGGCACGGTGCCATGACGTTTCGAAATCCCAATCGTTCCTTCCCATCAGAGTCCTTTGTCGGCGTCCTTATCACTAATCTCCCCCGGTAATTAAGACCGCAGGTGTGGGAATGTGAGCTCCAAGCGGATTTGCTGCAAATTTCAAAGCAATCGACTTAATTACCGTTGGAGATTAGTGATAAAGACGCCTACAATAGATTCCGATGGAAAAGAACGATTGGGATTTCGAAACGTCATGGCACCGTGCCAAGAGGATTCCGAAAAAGAGTGATAAGGAATTTAAGGATTTCCTATTCCAAATGCAAGCAGTCAACACAGTCGATAGTCCGAGAATATATTAAGGTTGTTCGATGCGGTTGCCTTTGTTCTTGACAACATCCTTGAGTATCTTCGGGAAAGCATCTACTGTGGCACGGAGGTATTCTGGAAATAGCTTGGCACGTTCTGCCTCCAAACGTTTTTTCAATGAATCCAATGTGAGATGTGGATGTGCTTGAACCTTCGACTGAAGAACTCCCCATGCGGAATAGTTCAAGACACTGGCCATTCAGAACTGCTGATGAAACGAGAAAAGTTGGCTGTGCACCAGACTTGGACGAGTTACTATCTGGACACCATCTGGAAATATAGTTTCATTGAAGAGTTTTCAGTACTGAAGTGCTCACCTGCTCCTACTCCGCCAGCGTCCGGCCACTCATTGAGATGGCTAATGGGCCCCGGCACGATGGATGCGGGGCCGCTATTGACGCTGCAGCGGGGATCTCCATCCCGGGTCGAGTGGTCCGTACCGAGCGGATGGAGGAGGTGCCGAATGAGGTGGTACCATCTGAAACAGATATTATATAACCCATTCTCCGTAAGACTCGAGCAATGAGGGACATAGGGAGAGATTTTTATGTAAGCATGTATATGGGGACTAGTGTGCACCATATGCACAATATTGGGTCCCAGCTCCGCGTTACGGTAGTACGGTAGGTGCTCAATGGTGCACAACTCGAATTTTTTCAAAAAAATCGTATCGATGATGGAAGACTTTTTCGTAATTCGAGTTCTTACCCTTCCAACATCTGACATGGTTCGGCCACTCAATGATATTGCTCCCGAGGATGTTTTTGAGGTATGGCAGGTTCGGAAGTGCGGGTGGAGCGCACGTGCGGGCAAAAGAAGAGGAGGTGCCGGATCAAATGGCCCATCTGGAATAGAGATTGCATTAAGAGTCTTGAATCAATGCGGTGCTTACCTTCTTAACATTCTGCTTTGACCGTCGCGCGTACTGCCGGAGTGTCGCTTTGTGTCGCGGAGCGAGAGTGTGCGGTATAAAGAGTGTGCAAAGAGAGAGAGAGACAGTGGCGTTGCCCGGAGATGGTTGTCCGTTGCGTGAATAGTCAAGAGATCGTAAGAAGTGTTCAGAAGAAGATAGATCGGTCAATCGCATTTCTCGGAAATTTTTTTAACAGACAAAAGAAAAGTTTGAGCTGATGGAAACCTCGATGGGAAGGGTCTACCCATATTCCGACTGAAACTCGCAAAAATGGCAAAATCTTGTCATGCTCTTCTAATTTCATGCGTACAGTAAGATTTTTCAATCATTTTCATGAAAACGGCACAGAATCACAGAATCTATGGACATAATAAGGAAAGAACAAAAAAGGCAAATTCAGCTTCCAATCCTTCTTGTTTGTCAGGTTCATTTCAAGGTGCTTTCAGAACTTTTAAATTTGGTCAAACATGCAGGCAGACTTTTCGCGAGTTGCGAAAGGTCCGCCTGCATTTGTAAATGAAGATTAATGAACTTCTTGATGAAAACCCATCAGTTATTGCAATTCAACTGTTCGAACTTTAAAACAACGTGAAATTGTGAAATGATTTCATGAACTTCTGTATGTTTTCAGGCCTGTATCTCCTTAGCCAGCAGATATATTCAAAAAGTTGTCAACTACAAAAGTAAAGGCACATATTCGCTTTTTGGGTTCATGCAAATTTTTCTGGGTTCATGCCAGGCGGACCTTTTGCGAGTTGCGAAAGGTCCGCCTGCAATTGTCGACCGAATTTGAAGTCGGCATTAAAATGAGCGCACACAAAGGCGTTAAGATGAGCGCGCACACAAAACAAAACTACTAACTGAACTGGAATTTCACAAAAAATCGATAGATCCGAATGTGCGCAGCGCATAAATGGTGTCAACTAGTTGTAGAAGCCCGATGGCGAGCCATTATGGCTGTACTGTAGTGGGACGGCCGGAGTTGGTAAGACGTTTGTTATCGAATGCCTTGCCGATGCCGTCGAACTAAAATATGGAAGTGATAGGAATCAGATGTCGAAACCCGCAGTTCTTCTTGGTGCTCCCACAGGTCTAGCCGCAGTCAACATAAAAGGACAGACGCTACATTCGTTATTCGCCATCGAAGTATTTTAGTGTTCTAGTTAAAAATTGAGTTTTCACTACAGGTTCACTACTACAGTACACAATTGTTTTTACGTGGAAATAGAGATGTCGGCGCGACAAACGTACACAATTGTTTTTACGTGGAAATAGAGATGTTGGCGCGACAAACGTACACAATTTTTTTGCAAAAAATAGGCAAACAAAAAACTCAATCAAAGGATAGTCTCAACAGATCGCAGTATAAGATGACTGCTCTACTGAATACAACACCTTGACCAAGAGACCAAGTCGTATGCAAGTGATTTAGCGCCCCGACATTGAACCAGAGTGATCTGGCGTTGGCAGGCGCCGCAGAGTTCACTACGACGCCAAGGCCATACATAGGGCATAAGCTCTCGTGTTGCCACGAGATAGAGATGCCTCCCGACACCGGGAAGCAAAGAATTTTCGCCTTGACAAGGCGAGATTCTAACTTAGAGGCGTTCAGTTATAATCTCTCAAATGGTAGCTTCGGACCAGTGGCCTGTCGACCAAGTCCATGAACCAAATGTTTGAACCCGCTGTTCCTCTCGTACTAAGCAGGATTACTTTCGCAATAACAAGTCAACAGTAGGGTAAAACTAACCTGTCTCACGACGGTCTAAACCCAGCTCACGTTCCC